CCCCTGCTATGTTTTGGGCCCATCATATCTTAGTTTTGTTTTTCATCATTCCCGGTGTGGATCCTGAAAAATAGGAGATGAGACTGCCTTGTTGTTGCTTTTGTGTATGTTGTGGGAGGGTTAGATTGGGGCGCCCCAAAGAGGGGCGAATTCCAAACTTTGGGAACCATTGGTAGAGACCTGGGAGTCCACTTGACCCGGGCAGAGCTGGGAAGGAAGTTTGGACATCGTTGGCAGTGCCTGGGGAGTGGTCTTCTTAGAAGTGGACAGTTTCTTAGCTTCAATAATTTTCTGCATTTCCTTTTTCCTTTCAGGACAAATAGCACAAACAGAATGATGTTTTCCATTGCAGAGGACACATTTGGGTGTATTTTTATTATTACAATCTCGATAAAAAATTTTGGGCCCAGAGCAAATGCTACAAATCTGCCCTTGGTACTGCATTTGTTGGTGTTATGACCAAAGGCAAAAACATTTAAAACATTGTGTCACACTGACAAATCGTTCAAGAGAGATTTGGTCAGGTGTACATTTATTTTTTTTTTTTTTATTATCACACTGGCCGATTCCCACCAAGGCAGGGTGGCCCGAAAAAGAAAAACTTTCACCATCATTCACTCCATCACTGTCTTGCCAGAAGGGTGCTTTACACTACATTTTTTTAAACTGCAACATTAACACCCCTCCTTCAGAGTGCAGGCACTGTACTTCCCATCTCCAGGACTCAAGTCCGGCCTGCCGGTTTCCCTGAATCCCTTCATAAATGTTACTTTGCTCACACTCCAACAGCACGTCAAGTATTAAAAAACATTTGTTCCTTTCACTCCTATCAAACACGCTAAAGCATGCCTGCTGGAAGTCCAAGCCCTCGCACACAAAACCCCTTTTTACCCCCTCCCCCCAACCCCTTCTAGGCCGACCCCTACCCCGCCTTCCTTCCACTACAGACGATACACTCTTGAAGTCATTCTGTTTCGCTCCATTCTCTCTACATGTCGAACACCTCAAAAACCCTTTCCCCAGCCCTCTGGACAACAGTTTTGGTAATCCCGCACCTCCCCCTAACTTCCAAACTACGAATTCTCTGCATTATATTCACACCACACATTGCCCTCAGACATGACATCTCCACTGCCTCCAGCCTTCTCCTCGCTGCAAAAATTCATCACCCCTGCTTCACACCATATAAGGCTTTGGTAAAAACTATACTCTCATACATTCCCCTCTTTGCCTCCAAGGACAAAGTTCTTTGTCTCCACAGACTCCTAAGTGCACCACTCACTCTTTTTCCCTCATCAATTCTATGATTCACCTCATCTTTCATAGACCCATCCCCTGACACGTCCACTCCCAAATATCTGAATACGTTCCCTCCTCCATACTCTCTCCCTCCAATCTGATATTCAAATTTTTATCACCTAATCTTTTTTTTATCCTCATAACCTTACTCTTTCCTGTATTCACCTTTAATTTTCTTCTTTTTCAACCCTACCCAAATTCATCCACCAATCTCTGCAGCTTCTCTTCAGAATCTCCCAAGAGCACAGTGTCATCAGCAAAAGAGCAGCTGTGACAACTCCCACTTTGTGTGTGATTCTTTATCTTTTAAACTCCACGCCTCTTGCAAGCCCCCGCATTTACTTTCTTACAACCCCATCTATAAATATATTAAAAAACCACGGTGACATCACACATCCTTGTCTAAGGCCTACTTTTACGGGGAAAAAATTTCCCTCTTTCCTTTCATACTTAACTTGAGCCTCACTATCCTCGTAAAAAACTTTTCACTGCTTTCAGTAACCTACCTCCTACCCATACACTTGCAACATCTGCCACATTGCCCCCCTATCCACCTGTTCATAGCCTCTTCCCAAATCCATAAATGCCACAAAGACCTCTTTAGCCTTATCTAAATACTGTTCACTTTTTGTTTCCTGTAAACACCTGGTCCACACACCCCCTACCTTTCCTAAAGCCTCCTTGTTCATCTGCTATCCTATTCTCGTCTTACTCTTAATTCTTTCAATTATCTCTACCCTACACTTTACCAGTACACTCAACAGACTTATCCCCTATAATTTTTGCACTCTCTTTATCCCCTTTGCCTTTATACAGAGGAAAATATGCATGCTCTCTGCCAATCCCTAGGTACCTTACCCTCTTTCCATACATTTATTAAATAATTGCACCAACCACTCCAAAACTATATCCCCACCTGCTTTTAAACTTTCTATCTTTATCCCATCAATCCCGGCTTTCCTTACCCCCTTTCATTTTACCTACTGCCTCACGAACTTCCCCCCCACTCACAACTGGCTCTTCCTCACTCCTACAAGATGTTACTCCTCCTTGCCCTATACCGAAATCACAGCTTCCCTATCTTCATCAACATTTAACAATTCCTCAAAATATTCCCTCCATTTTTCCCAATACCTCTAACTCTCCATTTAATAACTCTCCTCTCCTATTTTTAACTGACAAATCCATTTGTTCTCTAGGCTTTCTTAACTTGTTAATCTCACTCCTAAACTTTTTCTTATTTTCAAAAAAATTTGTTGAAAAACATCTCACCCACTCTTCATTTGCTCTCTTTTTACAAATTTCTTCACCACTCTCTTAACCTCTCTCTTTTTCTCCATTACTCTTCCTCCTTGCATCACTTCTACTTTGTAAAAACTTCTCATATGCTAACTTTTTCTCCCTACTACTCTCTTTAATCATCATTCCACCAATCGCCCCCTCTTCCCCCCTGCACCCACTTTCCTGTAACCACAAACTTCGCTGAACACTCTAACACTACATTTTTAAACCTACCCCATACCTCTTCGACCCCATTGCCTATGCTCTCATTACCCCATCTATCCTCCATAGCTGTTTTATCTTACCCTAACGGGCCTTTCCTCTTTTATTTTATAAACCTTCACCTCTCTCTTCCCTGATGCTTCTATTCTCCTTGTACCCCATCTACCTTTTACTCTCAGTGTAGCTACAACTAAAAAGTGATCTGATATTCTGGGGGCCCCTCTATAAAACATGTACATCCTGAAGTCTTTCTCAACAGTCTTTTATCTACCAATACATAATCCAACAAAATACTGTCATTTCGCCCTACATCATATCGTGTATACTTATTATCCTCTTTTTCTTAAAAAAATGTATTACCTATAAAATAAACCCCTTTCTATACAAAGTTCAATCAAAGGGCTCCCATTATCTTTACCCTGGCCCCCCAAACTTACCTACCACCCCCTCCCTAAAATTTTTTCTCCTACTTTGCATTCAGGCCCCTACCACAATTACTCTCTCATTTGGTTTTCAAAGGTCCATACTTTCCCTTAACATCCCCCAAATCTCTCTCCTTGCTTTCCTCTCTTCTCCCGGTGCATAAACGCTTATTATGCCACTTCTCGCACCCAACCTTTACTTTAATCCACATAATTCTTAATTTACACTTCATATTCTCTTTTTCTTCCAAAATGATTTTAACATTACTGCTCCCCTTCCTTTGCTCTAACCTCTCAATACTCCAGATTTAATAAAATTTATTTCCCCCCACGAAATTCCTCCCCCCTTTCATTTTTGTTTCGCTTAGAGCCGGGAATCCAACTTTTTTTCTTCAAACATCACAATCATTGTTTTTTGTAATCCGCACTCCGACATCGGGTCCCAAAAATTTGAACCTTTTTTTTGACACACAATTTTGGGCCCTCATCGGGGTTTAAAGTATTATCTTTTGGTTCCCTTGTTGTTGTTAGGTTTAGAGAATTTAGTGCTTCGACAGCCCTAAATTCAGAATCTCTGTATTAAAGTCCCCAAAAATTTTTCATTCACTGTGCTATGTCTCATGAAACTGTTAATTCTGGCCACAAACACAGTCCTCTGGCTTGATAGCCTCAGGTGAAACGGGGGGTAACCCAAAGTCTTCATTTTTTAAGGGACATCATGCTTCGCTTGAAAAAAACTCTTTTTCCGAAGAGAGGAGAAGTCTGTCCAGCGGGGTTTGAAAAAACCCCACTGGAGCAAACAGTTGGTTCCAGCAAATACATGCTAGAATTTATTTCATCGACTTTGGTTTCCTCAACACTAATCTTACTCGTATCCCGCCATAAGTTGGGAAGGACATCTCATGGAGTTTCTTAACAAAAAGGGGATTTTTCCTTATGTTTTTCTAGCATCCTATTTCAGGACTTATAAAGGGTTTAGCCCCTAAGATGCCTACCCTCGGTGGTGGGGGGAAAGGGCCAAGGCAAAGATCGGCGGATTTTAAAAAACCACACGGGCTAGGAGGGTAAAATGCCTTGTGTTAACTCGCCAAAGCGAAGTTGCCGAAAAAGAAGATGGAAAGTCAGAAGGTAGATGTAGTTGTGTGTTTAGTGGGGGGCCCAGTTTTGATTTTGGGTGAGGGGAGGTGGGGGATGGGGGGAGGGGGTGGAGGGTGAAAAGAAAGCAAGTCACTGCCTTCCCCTCTTGATGGGGGGGGGCTCGAAGTGACTGCAAAAATTTTCCTTCACTTGTGAAGAATATCAGGTAACCCAAGAAAAATCTCGAGCAACAGTGTTCAGAGTTGCTCAGCTGAAGAGCAGGAACGACGACGTCTTCTCTCCATGGCGGCTGGGCTGCTTCCTCTATTTTCTATTTTGTATTTATAAATCAAACATGGTAATTACTTTGCTATATGTTTCATTGTTTTCTTGCTTCACAGGGAAACAGGGGCCCATTCACCCGTCCTTGGCAGTCTTCGGTGCCACCCCTAGTGAGCTCAGTGGATGAATTGGTGCAATACCCAAGTGACACTGAAGATACTGGTTTGGTTATTGTAGCATGGAGAGGACCTTCTTCTGTTTACCAAATTAATGAGTGGGTTTCTGTACATTTATTTGTTTCTTTATTATCCTTTATTTTTGTTTCCCTGAAAGCTCTGTCTCCTTTTATGTATATCTTCATAAATAATTATTTCCTAGACATAAATATTGAATACAAAAATTCTTTTATGGACACCAAAAATGTAAATAAAAGTAGAGAGAGAGTTAATTCCATGTTTTTATTATTCTTATCTTCACAGGTTGTTGAGCATGGGAGTGTTGATGGAGTATTTACTCACTCCCCTGTCTCTAAAATGCCCAGCATTTTGTTTTAAATTGATGATCCATTTTCCAGAGTGTAAGGATTAAAAACCCCTTTCTGTCGAACCCCCAAAAACCTGGGTGTCTCCTGTGTTGCAAAAATAAAAAAAAAAAATTATTTTTTCTTATGAAATGATAGAGAATCTTTTTCCGATGGTAATGACACCAAAAGTACAAAGTTTGATGGAAAACTTATGGAATTATGCTCTCGCAAAGTTAGCGACCTCAGCGATATTAACGAATCGGCGATTTCCCCCCCCTTTTGAGCCCCTTTTTCGGCTATTCCCATTGTCCCAGTCGACCAAACTTATAACTATTTCTTTAGAACTCCATTTGTTCTATCGATTGATTACAAGAAACCATCCATTTACTAATTTCAACTACCCAGTAAAGTGGTCAGAAATTGGCAATTTGGCCAATTTCACGCAAATTAAAAAATATGCCAATTTCAAAATAGGGTCCAGAATGAACAATGCAAACATTCCTGGCTCTAAAATAACATTTTCTTTGTTCAACAGTCATGTCTCCAGACCCTCTGATATTACTCTTGCTTTCTATTTTGAATTTTTATTCAAACAAAAAATAGAAAATTTACTGTTATGCAGACTACTGCAATATTGTAAAAATTGCGTAAATAATGTCAACCCATTCATGACTGCATACTAGAATGGTGAGTTGAACATTTATTGGATAATGACATCATTTGTTTACTTTTGAACATTGGCAAAAAATCAAATATTTCCCGTACTTTGAGCTTCATTTCAAGGTTCTTTTCATAGTAAAACCAATCAAAATCACCTCCATTTCTATAACATGTTTTCCATTCTGTCAAATGAGACCAAGAAAACTAGAATACAACCATAAATACTATATGAAAATAGACCACAAAGTCAGCATTTTTATTAAAAAAATGGTCTTTTTTTTTTCTCATGCACTTCGTGCTGCAGGATTTTTTTTATATGGTGCACACTGACCACACAGACCCATTCTCTCACTTGTGGGCCTACCAGCTTTCTCCTGCTTGATTTGAAGCCGCTGTCAGATCACTTTCTAGTTGTAGCTACACTGAGAGTAAAAGGTAGATGGGATACAAGGAGAATAGAAGCATCAGGGAAGAGAGAAGTGAAGGTTTATAAACTAAAAGAGGAGGCAGTTAGGGTAAGATATAAACAGCTATTGGAGGATAGATGGGCTAATGAGAGCATAGGCAATGGGGTCGAAGAGGTATGGGGTAGGTTTAAAAATGTAGTGTTAGAGTGTTCAGCAGAAGTTTGTGGTTACAGGAAAGTGGGTGCGGGAGGGAAGAAGAGCGATTGGTGGAATGATGATGTAAAGAGAGTAGTAAGGAAAAAAAAGTTAGCATATGAGAAGTTTTTACAAAGTAGAAGTGATGCAAGGAGGGAAGAGTATATGGAGAAAAAGAGAGGTTAAGAGAGTGGTGAAGCAATGTAAAAAGAGAACAAATGAGAGAGTGGGTGAGATGTTATCAACAAATTTTGTTGAAAATAAGAAAAAGTTTTGGAGTGAGATTAACAAGTTAAGGAAGCTTAGAGAACAAATGGATTTGTCAGTTAAAATAGGAGAGGAGAGTTATTAAATGGAGAGTTAGAGGTATTGGGAAGATGGAGGGAATATTTTGAGGAATTGTTAAATGTTGATGAAGATAGGGAAGCTGTGATTTTGTGTATAGGGCAAGGAGGAATAACATCTTGTAGGAGTGAGGAAGAACCAGTTGTGAGTGTGGGGGAAGTTCATGAGGCAGTAGGTAAAATAAAAGGGGGTAAAGCAGCTGGGATTGATGGGATAAAGATAGAAATGTTAAAAGCAGGTGGGGATATAATTTTGGAGTGGTTGGTGCAATTATTTAATAAATGTATGGAAGAGGGTAAGGTACCTAGGGATTGGCAGAGTGCATGCATAGTTCCTTTGTATAAAGGCAAAGGGGACAAAAGAGATGCAAAAATTATAGGGGGATAAGTCTGTTGAGTATACCTGGTAAAGTGTATGGTAGAGTTATTATTGAAAGAATTAAGAGTAAGACGGAGAATAGGATAGCAGATGAACAAGGAGGCTTTAGGAAAGGTAGGGGGTGTGTGGACCAGGTGTTTACAGTGAAACATATAAGTGAACAGTATTTAGATAAGGCTAAAGGGGTTTTTGTGGCATTTATGGATTTGGAAAAGACGTATGACAGGGTGGATAGGGGGGCAATGTGGCAGGTGTATGGTGTAGGAGGTAGGTTACTGAAAGCAGTGAAGAGTTTTTACGAGGATAGTGAGGCTCAAGTTAGAGTATGTAGGAAAGAGGGAAATTATTTCCCAGTAAAAGTAGGCCTTAGACAAGGATGTGTGATGTCACCGTGGTTGTTTAACATATTTATAGATGGGGTTGTAAGAGAAGTAAATGCGAGGGTCTTGGCAAGAGGCGTGGAGTTAAAAGATAAAGAATCACACATGAAGTGGGAGTTGTCAGAGTTGCTCTTTGCTGATGACACTGTGCTCTTGGGAGATTCTGAAGAGAAGTTGCAGAGGTTGGTGGATGAATTTGGTAGGGTATGCAAAAGAAGAAAATTGAAAGTGAATACAGGAAAGAGTAAGGTTATGAGGATAACAAAAAGATTAGGTGATGAAAGATTGGATATCAGATTGGAGGGAGAGAGTATGGAGGAGGTGAATGTATTCAGATATTTGGGAGTGGACGTGTCAGCGGATGGGTCTATGAAAGATGAGGTGAATCATAGAATTGATGAGGGGAAAAGGGTGAGCGGTGCACTTAGGAGTCTCTGGAGACAAAGAACTTTGTCCTTGGAGGCAAAGAGGGGAATGTATGAGAGTATAGTTTTACCAATGCTCTTATATGGGTGTGAAACATGGGTGATGAATGTTGCAGCGAGGAGTAGGCTGGAGGCAGTGGAGATGTCATGTGGTGTGAATATAATGCAGAGAATTCGTAGTTTGGAAGTTAGGAGAAGGTGCGGGATTACCAAAACTGTTGTCCAGAGGGCTGAGGAAGGGTTGTTGAGTGGTTCGGACATGTAGAGAGAATGGAGCGAAACAGAATGACTTCAAGAGTGTATCAGTCTGTAGTGTAAGGAAGGCGGGGCAGGGGTCGGCCTAGGAAAGGTTGGAGGGAGGGGGTAAAGGAGGTTTTGTGTGCGAGGGGCTTGGACTTCCAGCAGGCATGCTTGAGCGTGTTTGATAGGAGTGAATGGAGACAACTGGCTTTTAATACTTGACGTGCTGTTGGAGTGTGAGCAAAGTAACATTTATGAAGGGATTCAGGGAAACCGGCAGGCCGGACTTGAGTCCTGGAGATGGGAAGTACAGTGCCTGCACTCTGAAGGAGGGGTGTTAATGTTGCAGTTTAAAAACTGTTGTGTAAAGCACCCTTCTGGCAAGACAGTGATGGAGTGAATGATGGTGAAAGTTTTTCTTTTTTGGGCCACCCTGCCTTGGTGGGAATCGGCCAGTGTGTTAATAAATAAAAAATAATAAAATATACGTCAAACACAGTGGCTCGTAAAATGTTTATATACGACCAAAACAATCAAAGGGTTAAAATGATTGCATAATTTTTTCGTATTTTTTTGTTTTTTTTTACACGTCAGCCGTTTCCCATCAAGGCAGGGTGATGCAAAAAGAAAGAAAGAAAAAAAAAGTCCCCTCCCCCCAAAAAAAAAAAATTTTCATCAATCAACACTTTCACTATCACTTACGCATAATCAGTGTCTCTACAGAGCTTAGACATCCTTCAAAACTATCAATATTCCAAACCCCTCCTTTAATGTGTAGACATTGTATTTCCCATTTCCAGGACTCAAGTCCAGCTAATTGGTTTTCCTGGATCCCTTCACAAAATATTACCCTGCTCACACTCCAACAGTTCGTCAGGTCCCAAAAACCATTTGTCTCCTTGCACTCCTATCTAACACGCTCATGCATACTTGCTGGAAGTCCAAGCCCCTTGCACACAAAACCTCCTTTACCCCTCCCCTTCAACCTTTTCGAGGATGATGCCTACCCCACCTTCCTTTCCCTACAGATTTATACGCTCTCAAATCATTCTACTTTGTTCCATTCTCTCTAAATGACCAAACCACCTCAGCAACCCCTCTTAGTCCTCTGACTAATACAGTGGAACCCCGGTTTTCAAACTTAATCCGTTCCAGAAGGTCATTCTAAAACTGAAACGTGCAAAAACTGAATCAATATTTCCCATAAGAAATAATGTAAATATAGTACAATTAATTCGTTCCAGACACCCAAAAATATTCACAAAAAATTTATTTTTTAAGAATATAACACTAATATCACTCTACGGTTTATTTATCACAATTGATCTTGTATGACATAATAAACAGTATTAATAACAGAAACATGATACAGTGGACCCTCAACCAATGGCATTAATCCGTTCCAGAGAGCTTGCCGTTAGTCGAATTTGCCGTTGGTCGAAGTAATTTTCCCCATAAGAAATAATGGAAATAGAATTAATCCGTACCTGACACCCCAAAATATGAAAAAAAAAAAAAAATTTTTTACATGAAATATACATTTCCCTACACCAAAACGAATGGGACATGCAAAATAAACAATAATTAAATGCCACTTACCTTTATTGTGGAGTTGTTGATGAGTGATGAGACGGTAGGAGGGAAGATGATGCAGATGTTTTATTGTTTGGAAGGGGAATCCTCTTCCATAAGTACTTGAGGTACCAAGTCCTTTGGTGGGGTTACCTCCCTTCTTGGTTTTTTAATGCCACTAGGACCAGCTTGAGAGTCACTGGACTCCTGTCGCACAAAACATCTGTCCAGAGAGCTCTTTTTCTCACGTGCCCTTAGGATTTCCCTAAAATAGGACACAAGAGTGTCATTGTACATGTTGCCAATATGGCTTGCAACTTCTGTGACAGGATAAAATTCATCGATAAATGCTTGCACCTTTGTAAACATTGAACACATTTCCCTAATCCTTGACAAAGTCATCTTCCTCTGTCTCTCTTCATCCTGCTCTGAAGAACATTCCTGAGATGTGATCTGTTGCTGTTGCATCTGAAGCTCTTGCAGGTCTGCAGTGGTTAGTTCTTCGTTGTCGTTCTGCACCAACTCTTGCACATCCTCGTCACAAACCTCCAACCCCAAGGACTTCCCCAATGACACAATAGCTTCCACTACTGGCATAGCCTCCTGAGGGTTAGCCCCAAACCCTGCAAAATCCCTCTCTTCTACACATTCTGGCCACAGTTTCCTCCAAGCAGAGTTCAAGGTCCTCTTAGTCACTCCCTCCCAAGCCTTACCTATAAGGTTTACACAACTGAGGATATTGAAGTGATCTTTCCAAAACTCTCTTAGGGTCAAATGAGTGTCTTGAGGTCACTTCAAAGCACTTTTGAAACACTGCTTTTGTGTAGAGTTTTTTGAAGTTTGAAATGACCTGCTGGTCCATGGGCTGGAGGAGAGGAGTTGTATTAGGAGGCAAAAACTTCACCTTAATGAAACCAAACTCCCCTGCAATTTCCTCTTGCAAGTCGTGAGGATGAGCAGGAGCATTGTCCATTACCAGGAGGCACTTGAGTGACAATTTCTTTTCCTGGAGGTACAGTGGACCCCCGGTTAACGATATTTTTTCACTCCAGAAGTATGTTCAGGTGCCAGTACTGACCGAATTTGTTCCCATAAGAAATATTGTGAAGTAGATTAGTCCATTTCAGACCCCCAAACATACACGTACAAACTCACTTACATAAATACACTTACATAATTGGTCGCATTCGGAGGTAATCGTTATGCGGGGGTCCACTGTATTTTGTCACAGTGGGGCCAAACACACCATAAAGCTAGTCTAAGAAAAATACCCTAGTGACCTATGTCTTACTGTTTGATCTCCACAGCACACACAAATTACCCTTGATGATATTGTTTTTCCTGAACACTCTGGGAGTTTCAGAGTGATACACCAATAATGGCTTCACTTTGCAATCACCATTAGCATTACTCCTGAGTAATGTAGGTCCTGTTTGGCATTTTTTTCCAAACCAGGCCTGTTTCATCACAATTAAACACTTGTTCAGGTTTTAAGTTTTCAGTCTCTATGTATTCCTTAAAGTCGTTCACATATTTTTCAGCCGCTTTTTTGTCTGAACTGGCTGCCTCACCATGCCTTACCACTCTGTGTATGCCACTACGAATCTTAAATCTCTCAAACCAGCCTTTGCTGGCCTTAAATTAATCAGCACTGATCCACCCTCTGTTCCTTC